TCGGCAACTTCCGCTGAGAACGCCACCCACATGACACACTTTTGCACTCTGAACAGCACTCTCCTCTCCCCTCTCTGTAGCTGCTGCTGTTGCTGCCCCATTATCCAGCGGATGCCACATGCGTCCCTTTTCGCTTTGTTGTGACCCTAATCGCCTCAGAATTGTGATACACTTTCGGGGGTGTGTTCTTTGCTTTTATTGCCATTCCCTTAATTGCAATTGAGATTGAGATTGAGCCTCATTAATGTTTGGCAGCAGCCATTCGCACAGGAAGCAGATCCCGGCGAGGGCGTGGCCCCCGGCCAGCACCATGGCCGCCATCACAATGTCCTCGAGTCGCAGCGGTTCGATGTCGGCGAACTGGGTGGGCAGGAACCGCAGAAAGCCAGCGAGCACCGCCAGCTCGTGGACATCCCCGACGAGCTTCTCCTGCAGCCCCGTCTCGAAGAGCCGCTGCACATGCTCGTTGTAGAGCCGCTCCAGCGGCCAGTTCTGGCGGATTACCTGCACGGCCCAGGTGTAGCCCACGGGATCGAGGAGCTTCTTCATGCGTGGCCGCCGCAGGAACTTCTGCTGGTAGAGATAAAAGTCCATGCGGTCCTCGGAGTCCACGTAGGCGTAGCGGGGATCTAGGTCATCGCGTCGCTGCTTGTGCAGCGACTCCTCCACCAGGAGGAAGCGTTCACGCAGCTCCTCGGAGCTGCCGTACACGGAATTCGGGCCCACGTTGTGTTGCTGCAGCAGGATGCTGACATTGGCGGCCTTCAGGTCCGCCACGGTGTTGATGGGCCGCTGATAGAGCCTCGTGGTGAGCATCATCGATAGCTGGGCCACGTACAGGCTGGACAGCACGAAGCCCGTGGCGAAGAGCAGGAGCAGCAGCAGCAGTCGGTTGCCGCCCGAGCAACACTGGGGCAGTGTGAGGCTGCGGGTCAGCAAACTCTGAACGGCCAGCAGGAGGTACTGGCCCACATCCCAGCGGCCAAAGTGCCAGCGATGAAGCAGTGCACCCAGCAGGGCGATGTAGGCCACACTGAGGCCCGTCCACAGCCAGACGGGGGGGTCGAAGGGTCGAAAGAAGTAGTGGAACTTCTCGATGGGATTGCCAAAGGGTGCCATGATGGCCACGCGATTCAGACGTACCGGCTGCGAGGTGGGGTAGCGGAAGGTCATCACAAAGATGCTGCCACAGGCGTCCGTCACGTTGGACATCACCAGGCTGAGGCACTCCTCCGTGCGGTAGCGTCGCAGTCCGGCAAAAGGCACCGCCTCGAGGCTGGCATTGAAGTGTTTGGCAAATAGCTTGAAGCTGCTGATGATGCTGCCCTGGTAGCGAGCTCCCGACGCCACGGACTTGTTCTCATTCACAAACGAATGCGGCGGATCATTGGTGACGAGCACACGCACAGGATAGCCCAGCAGATCCTTGGAGTTTCGCTGGGAAAGATACTGCTGCAGCGTTGTGCGGATGATTGCGAGCCGCGGATAAGGTTTCATTGTCCAGAGTTGATGCTCAGCAGAGACGAGCAGAACATGCGGAAATCCTGCATCCCAATAGGCTTTGAATATGGCTTCATGGCTGGCTTTGCTCTGCATATCCATTAGCAGGATGTCATTGAACTGCCTATCCTTGAGATACGCTTGAAGCACGCTCACAGCTTCTAGATTGCCATCCAAATCGCTTTCCAGTGGCGTTATGGTAAGCACTGGAGCATCGTGTTGGGTCTTTAGCTGCTCGCTGATGTTTCCCTGGAGCAGCATCTTTGGCTGATTGCTCCGCATGGGTAATCTCTGCAGCTGCTCCCCCGAGAGGCCATAGTAAATGTGAGTTTTGGTGCACAACTCGAGTGTCAACTGGAGGATAAAGGTGCCGCCTGCCTGTGCCGCCACCACTGTCAGGAGTGGAATCCACAGCGAAACTTTGAGTAGCGACATGTTTAACAGCCAAGGCACAATTGAAAGGACAATGGGATGCATCTGGGCGGTCAGTTAATTCAATTAGTCGCACTAATTAGTGGGGCAAACTAATAACGGACACCTAATTAGAGTTTTTTGACATGCAATTACAAATATCGATCGAAAGATGTGGTTGGAACACATTTTGAGGCTTGGATACCCTATATACAAACGATAGAGGATGCTATCTAACATATCGCTTTACAGATGCAGATATAACTTCAGAGATATTCCCTCTATATCAAATGCAAAGCTCTCCAAAAATTCTTCAAATGCTTCATTCAAATTCAAACCGCTGCTGCATCGAACTTCTGTTAATAACAGCGAGTCCCCGCTGCTAACAGTTCTCATACAACAGTGACGGACAACAGGTTCGAACGGCAACAGCTGTTGGCTCTGTTGGTGCGCTGCCATTTCTCGCATGCTATAAAAGTCGCACTGTAGAGCTGCAGGCGGCAGCATAATGGCCGCTACACACACAACCGCACACCCGCACACACCACACACACCACACACACACACACAGAGGCACACACAAAAAGTGAGAGACGAAACTTTTCAAACTGTTGTTGCTGTGTGGAGTGGATGTTGCTGCTAATGTTGCCTCCGCTGTTGCTGTTGATGTTGCTGTTGCCACCGCCGCCGCTGCTGCTGCCGCTGCTGCTGCTGCTGCTGCTGTTCGCCGTGTGGTAAGGAAGAAAAACACAAAACCAAAAATGTCGCACGTTTCGCTTCGGTTTAGTCTCGATAATTCAATCGACGTTCAACGTTGTGTCTGCCTTGTGCCCCGTTTCTGTGCTTTACGTCTTGTGCCGTTACGCGATTCAGTCACGATTACGATTACGAATACGAATATTCAAGCAGCGAATAACCCAGCGAATACTCCAACGAATACCCTCAACGTTTAACGGAAGACCCAGTCCAAGTTGTACGTGCCACAGGGTGCAAAAAAAAATATTTATACACAAAAATAAAAGTTTAACACAACAAAAATTTATTGTCGCAGCGGAAGCGGAAGTGCATCGCGTGTGTGTGTGTGTTGAGTGTAACGTTCTCTCTGTGTTTGTGTGTGTGTGTGTGTTTTGTTTCGTGTTTGTGTGCCCCTGCAATGGATTTCATTTTCATTTGGGCTAACAACGACAACTGCTGCTGCATTTACCAGTGAAACTGAAACGCCTGCCAGCCTGCCAGCCTGCCTGCTTGCCCCTAAACAAAAACGTGCCCAAGAAACCAAAAACAACAACAGAGGAAATGTGTTCGGGCTAAGGGCTAGAGAACTGCCTGGTACTGGTATCGGTCAAGTGAAGTGAAGAGCGATTACATGGGGATTACGACGCCCAATGTCATCCCAATCAATTAACTGCCGCCGCCGACGCTCACTTATCGCCCAAGCAGCAGCAGCAGCAGCAGCAGCAGCCACTCACCTATTGAAGCATTAGTTTACTGCTCCCGTCTGGCAGTAAATGGGTTAAAATTATGTACATTAATCGCCGAATGAATGTCGAATCAGTTAGAGAGACTGCTGTTTTTTATTGTGAGTATTGCTTACTGGATATCTGTACATAATCCTTCACTTTAAAACCCCATAAAACAATACAAAATAATCATAGTCAAGGCTCGCGCGTATCGGCTCGGGCTAATTAGCCAAGTTACAAGGAAACTTACAAGCCAAGCAAGCACTTCCTCAATCGCTCGATGCTTGGGTTCAAGTTGTTGGCAAAACGTTGGACTCAAAGAAGAACAGAACCCGCGCTAGACCGCGTACCCAAACCCGAAACCCGAAACCCCAAACCCAGAGAAGCTCTTTGGAATCTTATCAAGGCGCACACTCTACAAAGTCTTGCTATCGCCCACCTCTTCGCCATGAGTTTATGCTCCGTGTAACCTCGTTTCGTGTATTTTCCCAAGTGTTTGTTCAAAGTTGGTTAAAGATACTTGCTGGAGGGAGGGTGGTGGTGGTGGCAAACTGAAGTGGTGCACAGGGGTGTTGGTGTGCTGAGGCAAAACGCATTATTTTGTAATTATCGACAGAGTTCTAATAAATAAAGCGTCGCAAGGCCCCGCACAGAAAGGGTTTCGTTTTACGCTTTTTTTTTGTGGCTTGATGAAATTATGAATGAAGATAAGGTGCGGCACGATACTCATTCAGATTTTTCTAGAGGGGACTTTCCCTTAAAACTTGATTCAAAAGTTTCAACATTTCTTATATGGTTTCGTTTCTATAGTACATTTTGCTGTAAAGGAATAGATAAGCAGCCACAGTGTGGCATGTATAAATTAGTGCATAAATCTTGAGAATTGGCTGGGATTTGTGACTGCATGATATACGATCGATGTCCGATGTCTCTGTCCTCGATGGAAATATTTAAAGGGGTTTTGCCGCAAACCTTCCCACTTCACCTTCCACGCATACGCACGGTTGTCCGCCTGTCTATATATATATTGCAAGTAAATCTGGGTCCCTCCGTGATATGATTTACAACCTGACCTGGCACAATAATACCCACCAGACAGGTGGGGGACAGGGGGGGAGCAGCAAATGAGCGACGGCCGCCAGGCGAAACAATAAATTCATTAAATCAAATGGCGCGATTATTAATGTGAATGTAATAATATATCAAGAGAAGACAACTAATCAAACATGATAAATTACCGATTGATAGACGTTGTAGCGGGGAGGGCGCTACTTGCTACCGATATACGCCACACAACAACAACAACAACAAAAAGAGTGCAGCGGAGTACAGTGGGCACTCCTCTGAGTGGCAGAGCAAACAACATCGCTTGTATCTGGTTATTTTTTTGTTTTGTTTTTGTCCTGACAAGGTGTAAACATTGCTATGCAATTTAGGTTTCAGTTTTATTCTGCGCTCTGTCTGTCTGTCTGTCTTTTTTTTTGTATCTATTAGATACAATATTGATGGCCTGTTCATAGATAGCGGCAACGATAACGGAACCATATATATTTCAGATTGCGCTGGGGAACCATACAAAGGGAGGAATAAAGTAACTCCAACTGCATCTAATTCTTCCTCTCTTTCCAGGTGGTGATTTCAGGTGCATTATGTACAGTAGAAGATTACGTAATAATGTCACAGTGTGCACACAACAAAGCCATACACCTAGCTGCGGCAGGAACAGTCTCAGTGACAGACATTTCACAGATACGTAAGTATATTCCCGATTTGACTACTTAACGCCCCTTTTTTTGTTTTTTGTTTATCGAGACACGTCGCGTCTGCAGGAAATGCCTTCACAATTTCTTTCTTAACACAAAATATTTTAACAATTGTTTTTGTTTGCTTTAATTTCCATTACAATGGAAACTCTCTTGCTACCACAACAAGTGCAATTGTTAGATACTTTATTCGGGGTTTTTTTAGCTATTAATAATGTGCCCTGAAATGTCATTCAAAGTCAAAGAAATTCCACAGCAATTGGAGCTGGTATGCTAATGAAGATGGGAGATATAATAAAGAAATTTGAAGAATTACACCAAGAAAGTGAGAGACTTAAATGAAATGGTATTCCTCCTGCCAGCTTTACCGATCTTTAGATCTTTAGCTCAATGGCAATCAGCACTAGCTCAGCATAGTTCTGAAACCTTAACTGATACTCCACAACCATTACGTTTTGTGCAGCTCTTTTATTGCACTAAAAACTACCATAAAAAGGAGAACAACTGGAAGAAAATCATCAAAATTTGCTACGCTTCGGGCCAACTTTCACTCCGAAAAAAAAAAAACAGCAAGAAGAGCTCTGCTCTTGGCCATGGCCAATTAGAGTAGAGGCTGCAGCTGCAGGCCCGAGAGTCGAGGACCAGCACGAGCTATGCAGCCACCCAGCAGGATAGAGGTGCGGCCGGGGCAGGGGACAAAGGACGAGCCGGGATTCTGGTTTCTGCATTCTGGGTTCTGGGTTCTGGGTTCAGGGTTCAGGCGAAAATGCTGTACAACAGGTGCAAAAACATTATTGTTTGTTGCGAGTGTGCGTGAAAATTTCCAGCTGGTCAACCAGCAGCATAAAGAAAAGCAAGAAAAAAAGGAAGAGAGGGACAGAGCGACACCACTTAAGGCCTTAATGTGCGAAAAGTTTTATTGTCAATTTGCACGCCTTCTTGGCCACGACGACCCTGAGCCAGAGCCTATCCCAACAGCAAACAGCTTCATTCATTTGCATGGCTAAGCTCAGGTAGTCCTTCGGTGCAGGGATTATCCTGAATCCTCACCAAAACTAAGCTGCTGTTTGTGAGGCTTATGCGGGACTGGACATCACTTGTTTTGGCTGGGAATTTCCCATTGAAATTTATGGCTGGTTAGCCGAAATCCCCAGTTAGCTGGAACATAACCAAAAACAAGGGAAATGCAACCCTCTGCTGCTGCTGCTGCTAATGAATCTTGACATCTCAATCAATTTTGTGGGAGAAGAAGGGTCTATGGGGAGAAGGGAACTTTCACCACCCCAAGAGAAGAAGAGGAAACCACAAACATTTTCACATTTTCCACAAACACACCGAGAAATCCCCGGGAAACAGAAGCGGGCAACACGTCAATAAATCACATGATTTAATTTCAGACAAAACCGAAAAAAAAAACAAAAAAAAACATGCAGAAGGAGAAAATTGTTGAGGTGGCTTGTGGCTGGGATCTCGTATCGAATGGAATTTGGGTTCTGTTTTTGGGCTGCCTCAGGGGCTAGGACTCGGGGGTCATAAAACATTTTATAGCTCATCATGTGCGGCCATAAATTTTGAGAACGCAATCAGTTGCAGGCTCTCCCCCTGCCACTGTCCAGGGCGTTGCCCAATCAACACCTAACCCCAAGCCCCTGGGATGCGCTGCCATTGCTCATGTAACAAGTAACGAAACCGTTAATTTCTTGATCAAATAATGAACGAGGGCCAGTCGCTAGTCCCATGGCCTTTTTCGGGGGTTTCTTCTCCACTGCTCTTGCTCTTAGAAGTTAGAAGCGGCGCAGCCCAGCCTCGGACCCTGTGTTTGCCGTGTACTTCATTAAAAATGTTTAGCATTGTTCGGCATCGTTGGAGGCTGCAGCGCCAGCGATCAATCAAAGGCGACTGCAATGCGGCGATTACTTTATAACTGAGTGAAAAATGCTTACGAAAAGAGGATCAAATCTGCCATTTCTGAACTGCTTCTTAGGGGATCCAATCATGCCGAACAAAAATAGGAATCTGTATACCTTCTTAAGAATTAACTGAACTGCCATGTAATCCTTTTGCAACTCTTCGTTTCTACTTGCCATGGAACAATCTGTAGTTAAATCCCTCAATGACTTGACCAAGCATTTCCCAGAGTTTACAGCCCCAGACGCTGAAGAGGTGCTAATAATGTGGGAAATATTTAGCACCATCATTACAAACATCATTAAAGTATAAATAGATGTGTTTAACATGAAAACCTGTAAAAGGAATGTGCAGGGGCAGGGGCAGGAGGAGGAGAAGGAGGAGGACAGAGTGGAAGAAACCCGAAAAATATATATAAGATGGAAAACCGAACCGACAAGACGACTGAAAGTTCGACTTCGAAAGGAAATCATGGCGTGACAGAGATTCCAAGAAATAGCACCATTCGTATAGAGAGTATGGATAGGGTTACGGGGGAACCACTGCCTGCGGCGCGCAGATTCATCAATTAACGCCAAGGGTGGAGTGGAGTGGAGTGGAGTGGAGGCCCCTCTTCATCGGCAGCACTGTCCACAGTCCACACAGTCCACTGCAGTCCAAGACGTCAGCAAATAAATGCATTTCCGCTGTCCAGCACAAACAAATTTCCAAGAGACGCCGACGACGACAACAGACGTCAGCAGAAAACAAAAAAAAAAAACGAAAGAAAAATTCCCAAAAAGATTCGATTTGAGTCGATTCTTACCTACCGCGCGACCAGGCCAGCCAGAGCAGATCAGTGAACAGGCGAGGAGGGGAGTGAAGGGAAAACGGTTAAGAAAACATGGTCAACAACAAAGCTGAACAAGTGTACCGCTTGCCGATCGTCAGTCCAAAGCGAAGAACAGAGAGAAAGACACAGAGAGAAAGAGGTGGCAGATCGACAGTTTTTTTTGTTGGTCAATTGCTTCGCTCGATGTTTCGTTGGAGAAAGAGGCAGCGGGAAAATGCGACTGAGACTTGCTGGATCGCGCCATTGATTTCCACTTAACGCTTCAAAAACTCAAGTGGCCATCCATTCCATTCCATGGCCAAGTTTACAGTTGAAGCCAGAAGAAGTAGAAGAAAAAGGCAGGAAAAATGCGCTTTCCTACACCTGAACTCTGTTTCAATATTATTGTTTCCCACAGTTTCGGGGCTCCGGCTCCGACTCGGGCTTGGGCTCGGGAAATATTTAAGCGCCAATTTGATGTAGTTTGGCCCCTGTCAAGTGTCTCATTGAATTTGAATAACAAAAGAAGATGAAGCCTTTGGCTCTGCGGCTTCGGCTTCGGCTTCTCTTCAAAGCCCGCGAGAGACTTTCTTTCAGCGTTAGGGTTTTGCTTCCCTTCAATTGGTAATGAAAAGCAGCTGCTCGCGTTGTCTGCAATTACGCACTTCAACCTTCGACCTGAAGCAGAAGAAGAGATCCAAAAGGGGTAGGGGTACTGCAGGGCAGCCACTGAACCACCATAGAAACCAAAAGTTCTTGGAATCTGTCTTGCGTGGGAAAAAATCTGAACAGCAGTTGGGCATCAATTTGTCACCACAGTCCCCCAGTTACATTTCCTTGATCGACTCCCTTTCTTTATCAGTTAACTGTCTGATAGACCGGCGATTCATGTTCTAATCAATAAAACCCAACCACATGCCACATGGAAGCACGATTATCGTCGAGATAATCAAGAAGAACAGACCACAGACGCATAGCCATAGCACACTCCATGCCGCTCACCGTTAAATTGTGCATTTTACGAGGCTCTAAACCCAAAACCAAACCAATAGCAATACCACTACCAGTCCAATATCCAAAAACCCATTAAAGAAATGCCGCGGATAAAAACAAAATGCCGCCGCGCGTTGATCTGCGGTGATCGCCGCTCGATGATCAGTGAGGCAATAAATTCATCAAACAAATATCGCTATCCGACTCGGATCGACATGAATATTAAAAACCACAAAACTATAATCAGTGCATTATGATCTGAGCTGAACGGTGATCGTCTCTCTAGGGGCCCCACCGGGAAACATATCAATCTCGCTCTCTCTCTCTCTCTCTCGCATAAAATGTGGAACGGATCGAGGAACGGCCACCGTTGTGGCCCTTTTTGTGTTCCTCAGCCATTAACTGGCAGACGACCTAATGGACATGATCTTTCGTCACTCCCAACAACAGAAAACAGAAAGAAAAAAAAGGAGTTTACCTTTTTTGTCTGCCCCTCCACAGAGTGTCTGCGGCTGCGATCGATAGATGGCCGCTTGATGTGCTGCTGATCCCTAAATACCCTTTAAATTGAACTTAATTCCTCTCTACACACGGCATTTATCATCATTTATATCTTCGAGGCCGTTGAGTGCTGAGATATCAGCCATCTATGGGTTGCTAAAGGTAAAAGTAATGGATTCCTTCTGAAACATGTCCTGGAGGGGTGCAGCCGATCGGGGACATATTGAATGAATGAATTCTTGTTCAAATTCATGTGTAAATCCTCCCAGATTATGTCTGCAACATAATCTATAAATCTATAAATCTATTTCCAGCATTTTCCAACAGAACAAAAGTCTCTTCTGGCTCGTTGAGAAGGAAATGTCGCAATATCTGTCAATGCCGGCTGCCAGATCATTGCGGCAGAACGGAAATGCATTAATTTGTCGTTTGGCTTGTGCCGCACAAATAAATCAATTGATTTGCTCGGCCCCAGCTCTCAGCTCTCAGCTCTCTCTCCTCGTTCGTTCCCCTTGCCTTTGTGTGTTTGTGTGCTCCTCTTCTGACGCCACTTTCCAATTACGTAAACTCCATCGAGTGGGGAGAGAGAGGTGCACGCCTCGTGGTACCATCGCGTGCAGCTATGCAAATTTCCAACGTTTTCTGCAGTCTTTATATATGGCGAATCGACTCGTCTTACTACCGTTTAATGAGCTTATGATGAGGAGACGGCCCTGCCTCATGCCTCGCATGACTCAAGCGGCAATTTGCCCCTGCCCTGCCTTTTGCATTTCGGGG